GATACATATACATAGATGCATTGATATATTGCTGTATGGCTTTTGTATTGTTTTTATTTTATGCTGGTATGTTTTTATTTTAATTCGTATAGTATATTCCCTGAAAGGTGAATAAGTATTTCCCCAAATAACTTTCGTTTTTTTAACGTGGGAACTTGATTGCGATGAGATTTATTATTGGTTGCGATCACTTCAGTGAGAGGGACGCTTTTACAATATCACTTTGTAATGAGTCAATCATTCGTAGAGGGTAGACAAGATGCAAGTACAAACGTGTATAGAAGGAGTTTTTTCTATGATTATTTGCGTACTCAATACCAACATCATGACGTGTTTATATTGTTTTAGAGGACACCTGTTCTCCGCCTTCAACTAATACATATTGATGTTCTTGTCTCGCATGCAGTGGTGAATCCGAAGGAAACCGTAGGAAAATTCTCCAAGGTAGGCTGCACCGAATGCTGAGTTTGTTTCCGTTGAAGGTTCAGTATCAATTTAATATATGCATAACACTACCCGTTTGCATCGACTGTAGGCCGTTTGGACCAGTGCACAAGTTATCTTGCATACCTCGAGCTGCTGTTCAATCCATTGTTGATCGCCTTGTAGTCTCAATTATGGATTAGTAAATGGCTTCCAAATGAAACTCACGTTGCGCGTTTCAAGTTGTCTAGAAAAAGGAAAAAGTTATCTACAGGTGTACTTTACCTACCTATATGCCCGCACACTCCTATTCGTTTCTTTGCAATGTCACGCATATCTCTGTCTACATACATCTCAACTCGTCAACAATACGGCCTACTTGATATCGTGATAAACGCTCGTAGTCGGCTATGACATACTCAAGCAAATCACTAAATGGACTCGTCATACAATTTACTCGCTTGTATCTAGGCCATCTCGATCTCCCGTTGACTGAAATCGGCCTCCAACAGGCAGAAATAGTCGCTAAGCACATAGTATCACATCGGCGTATCAAAACAATCTTCTCCAGCGATCTACAGCGTGCAGCCCAGGTGAGTTTCTTATATACGCGTTTCTCATCAACCTTCAATCACGACCGAGTGCAGATGGAGTGTTCGTACGTTTTGCAATGAATACGTAGAATCATAAAACTACACGTGTGGCTTGGAATTTACGTATCTGCGTTGTAAATGCGCTCGCATAACCATCATCAACACTCGTATACACCGAAATTTTGATTCTCTTGTACGAAGAATTGGCCAACGTATAGCATCTCACTGCCCACTCTATACCATAGACTGGTGCCTGGGTGCACAAGCTGATTCCTACTGCACCTCTTGTGCTGGACTCTCGCCTACGTGAGAAATGTATGGGAAAGTTTGAAGGCAAGCCCTGGGGATCGATACAAAAGGTATGTTAGACCTATACTCGTGCATTCCGAGCGAAAGTTCCTTTTGGGTTTGCGATATAGATTGCTGTCGGTACTGATGTACTTTGGGTGAGATCATAGGCGATGGCCATACCAAACGTTAGAAGTACTGTAAAGAGAGTAAATATAAGTCTACAATACCACCAAAAGTCTATTTAGCTATCATTATAAATATATATATTTATATATATTTATATATTTATATATAT